CGCTTACCTTAAATTATTGACTCTTTACTAAGTTCGTTACCTAAATTAATTTTTTAATACATAAATATAAAATCTCAAACATGATATACTCTATTATTTTTATCTGTGAATTTGACTCTTTATTTTTTGAGAAAATGATATTCAATTTTCAACTAACAAATTTTAATTTCATAATTTAAAATACTTCTACTTTAGAATAAGATTAATATATATTATAATATACATTAAAATATATACTTGTTTTAGAAGAAAACAGGCAACTTGTTGCTCACCTTTAGATTATAATTATTATTGATTAATTTTTTAGAATAAAATAATAATAATAATTATGTGTTATTCCCATCTTTCTTAGTTCAAATGCATATTAATTAATTTAATAATACCCGAATTGATGGAAGCTTAGCATTTCAAACAAAATTACAAAAAAGATATATTAATTTTAAAATATTTAGAATGCGGTCCCCATATTTTGAAAAAAAAAAAAATTATAACTTTTTTTGCCCATAAATGTTAAACTCATTATTAAACTACACAATCACACTTTAAAAATAATAATATCAATCCTTTTTTTTTTTTGGGTCTAACTTGATTTTCAATAAATTTTTTTTTTTTTCAATTCGATTCGGAAAATATATTGTAAATGTGCATTAAATTATAAAATAACATTTTTAATTAAAATTAAAAATATATCATATATAAAGAAGTCAAGTTCATCTTTTCTTTTAACTCAAATTCAACTCAATTCCAAAATAAAATCAACCCATCAATTTTTTTTTAATAGAAAAAAGAGAGAAATTAGCATATCAAAGCAAGTCAAATCAAATTCATTAAATCACATATATATATATGTCTTCATCAAATTTGTTATCAATTTATCAAAAAACAGTGTTTACATTTTCTTACAATAAGAATATATGAACTTGTAAATAAATTTCGTAATTTTTTTTTTCATTTATTTCAGAAAATGTTCTTACTTTGGATTCTCTTGACATATGTTTTTCAAAGATTTACTACTAAATATTGCAAATTTTAATTAAAGATTCCAATACCCAATATTGAAAATGCCAAAAATAATATCATTGCCGGTCTTGTCAACGGCTCAAAATTAATCTCCAATACGCCAATTTGGCTTCAAAACCATATAATTTTGGCTTGAAATTAAGACCGACAATGGGTTATGCATAAAAACATTGCTAAGCTGAGCTTAATTGATTAAAATTATTTTCAATAATTATATTATTGTTAGTAGATTGACCCTTTTTTCATATTTTACAAAATTTTTAAATATTAAAAAAAAAATTTTGATACAAGAACACAATATTTTTAAATAGATCGAACCTCAAACTTGTAAAAACGTAACTAAATATTAAATGTATTCTTTATTCAAAATTTGAAGATATAAGATAAAGATAATAAAATTAACTTAACGTTTGCATTAGACTAGAGACTAGATTATATATTTTTGAAATATATATATTAAAAAATCATACATAGTAGGCACGTTAATACATAAAAAATATATATAGAAAATTCATAAATTATAGATGTTAAGATATCTTATTTTCTTAAGGAATTATATTTTTTTGAAATATATATAGTAGCTATAAATTAAATATATATATTAAAAAGTCATACATAGTAGGCACCTTAATACATAAAAAATACATGTAGAAAGTTCATAAACTATAGATGTAGGATATCTTATTTTCTTAAGGAATTATATTTTTTTTGAAATATATATAGTAACTATAAATGAAATATATATATTAAAAAGTTATACATAGTAGACACCTTAATACATAAAAAAATAAATATAGAAAGTTCATAAACTATAGATGTAAGATATCTTATTTTCTTAAGGAATTATATTTTTTTGAAATATATATAGTAGATATAAATTAAATATATATATTAAAAAGTCATACATAGTAGCCACCTTAATACATAAAAAATACATATAGAAAGTTCATAAACTATAGATGTAGGATATTTTATTTTCTTAAGGAATTATATTTTTTTGAAACATATATAGTAACTATAAATGAAATATATATATTAAAAAATTATATATAGTAGACACATTAAGATATAAAAAATACATATAGAAAGTTCGTAAACTATAAATATAAGATATCTTTTTTTTAAGAATATATTACTGTATATTTGAATAAAAATTGGATAAATTTTGTAAATGAGAATTTATATAGTATTAATCTTTGAAACATATTCTTAAAATATATGGTAACTATATATGACATATAAATATTGAAAGATCATACCTAGTAGAAACATTAATATATATTAAGAATATATTACTGTCAATGAATTGGATTTGAATTTAATAAATTTTGTGAAGGAGGTTTTAGTGGCAATTCTTTCTTGTATATTAATTTTGGAGTCTTTTATAATTTTAATCCACAAATTGGATTAAATAAATAAATAAAGCGCATATCCGTAAAGGGAAAAAGAGTATTTCCATTATAAAATAAATGGAAAAAACAAATGTATCTTTTTATTATGTTTTAAGAATTTACCAAAAATAAAAATTCCACAATCTACACTTCTCTAGTGACCAGCTGGGCCCACCCGTTTGTTTTTTTTAGTAATATAATAACAAAATTAGCCTAACTTCTTAAAAAAATAAAATAAAATAACCGTAATTCTCTGAAATTCCGGAAACAGTTGAGGACAGAACCGTAATTCTCCTGCGCTGTTAAAGTTCAAAACAGAAACAGTTTCATAAATCTTGTATTTCTTTAAGGGTAAAACCGACTTTCAATAAATAAGAAATTTTGATATTTTATTTAAAGAAAGTAATAATAAAAATTAATTTATTTATAAAAAAAAAAAAAAAAAATTGGACGGCAGTTTTTTAATGACAAAACGCCTATATAAAATGCGTTTCCGAAGAATCTTCCCATCACTCCTCAATTCTCCATTTCCATATCACAGCTCGACCTTTTTTTCTTTTCTGAGAAATTATTGGTCTACTTCATCTCTCTCGGTCCACTCGCAGAGAAAGACAAATTCACAGGCGTAATAGAGAAGACAAAGCTGAGCTGAGCATAGAAATCGGTGAAATCGTAGCGTTGCTCACTCGAAGTCGTCGTCTTCCTCCCTCTCTCTCTCCCTCTCTCTCTCTCTCTCTCTCTGTTTCCTCTTTCTACAAAGCAGTTACTTAGAAATTCCACATTGTTAACTGTCGCTTCCTCTCTCTGTCTACCTATCCCTTTAGCTGAGACCGGGTCACAGATACTACTCCAGGTATTTGCTTTGCTCGCTTGTTGAGCTCGCTAATCACTTATTTCTTGAACTTACTTCCTCTCCTTCTCGATTGTCGTCTTGTAGAGTTCAACGTGCTTCGAAAATGGATATAAAGGGGGTTGAGGGGATTTTCATTTGTCTTTTCCTTTTTTTTTTCATTCCTTGATTTATGTTTATTTGGAGTCTGTTTTATTCGGTGTTGTTTACCTTTTTTCTTCTGTTTCGAAGTTGTTCGTCTGTGTCTCTGAAAGGCCGTTTTCTCTTTCTGTTTTTAGAATTTTAATTGACTTTCTGTTGACGAACTTTTCAGCTCCTTTTTTTGGCACCTTTTTAAAAAAAAAAAAACTCTCACACAGTGATTCACTTCTGTGTTGATGCTTTCCTCAACCACTGGTATCTCATTCAGATATTCCAGGTGATTTTTGTTTACCCAAATTCATGGTATCCATCGCTATTGGGTCAGTTATACTGATGATCCAATGGCGTTGCCGACTTTGTTTTTGGATCACCGGATGCTAACTGAGAATTAACCATTTTCCTGGAAAGTTCGGAAGAGGCGAACCACGTTGACTATGGCGTCAAGTAGAGTTTTGAGGGTAGTTATAGCCAGACGATTGACGTCTTTCACTTTATGAACCTTCTTCTTTGAATCTCTCCTCCACTTAATTTTAAATTTACTTGCATATTTATCTTATCGCGTCTCCTGACAGTACGTGTTTTACGTGTTCATGTGACACGAAGCACAGCAAATTTATTTCATTTGTCTCTTTTCTGTTTCAGAATTGAGATAAAGATAGAACTTCGAATCTTTTGTTCATTGTTTTTCCTCATTTTATTTGAACACATTTTTGGCCTTCGAGAATTAGTTCCAAGCATTTTCTTTCTTCCTTTATCTTGAGATTAATCGGATTTTAAGCTCCAAAAGTTATCAGCCGTGACTTTAGACCTGAGTGCGTATTAGCTTTTGTTCCAAGAGGGCATTCAATGAAGCTAGCCCTTTCTGTTATGTGCTTATCCCTTGATTTTCTTGATCTTTATTTAAATTGACCAATTAAATCAGGTTGAAAGTTCACGTCTATCTCACTTTCAAGTATATCTCACTTTCTTATCTTCTCTACGCCTTACTCTATATGATTGCTACCTAATTCTTGATTTTCCTCTGCTACAGTTTGATAAGAATGTTGGAGAAAATGGAAAGCTTTGACGTCAACAGAGAAATAGAGGAGTTTGAAGCCGTGACAAAAGATGCCGAGAGGGTTCAGAGGGAGACCCTCAAAAAGATTTTGGAAGAAAATGGATCCGCAGAGTACTTGCAGAATCTGGGTCTCAATGGGAGAACGGACCCAGAGACCTTCAAGGCTTTCGTTCCAATTGTCACCCACAACGAACTGGAGCCCTACATTCAAAGAATTGCAGATGGTGATTCTTCACCCATTCTCACTGGAAAACGCATTACAACAATATCTTTAAGGTATTTTATTGATTATATTTAATCTCCGTCTGTGATTCTTGGAACTTAATACCGAGTCATGCTAGAGAAATAACACCTCTGTTGTTGCAGTTCCGGAACTACTCAAGGGAGGCAAAAATTTGTACCTTTCAATGACGATTTGATGGATAACACTATGCAGATATATCGGACTTCTTTTGCCTTCAGAAACAGGTATTTAGACCAAAATTGGACCTTTTCTTTAGTTGTGGAGCATCCTTCTTTTTTTTTTTTTTAATGAACACTTGTTTTTATTTTATTCAAGATTCTATTTTCTCTTTTTTCCCTTCAAGGGAACAAGATCGAACAACGTTTCCTGCGGAACTTATGTTACCTCAATTTACTGTTTTGTGATTCTTTTTTTTTTTTTTTAAGTTTCCATATGATGTTTTATGATTCAGTGAGGTTTGAATCGTTTATTTTACACTTTTTGATGAAGAAGTATAAATAATTAGGATTTAAGATGATAACATATTATTTATTTTTTCTTGTTTTGATTCCTTACACTGTTCCCTTGTGTCTGATTAGCTTCTCCGTGTCTGCCTGTCTGCTGACGTGAAAATTATCATTGATATGCAGGGAATTCCCTATAGGGACTGGAAAGGCCTTACAGTTCGTCTACAGTAGCAAGCAATTTAAAACAAAAGGGGGTCTGGCCGCCGGAACTGCTACTACGAATGTCTACCGCAATCCACAGTTTAAAAGTGGCATGAAGGCAATTATGTTTCAGGGTTGCAGTCCTGACGAAGTAATCTTTGGTCCTGATTTCTATCAATCCTTGTACTGCCATCTTTTGTGCGGACTTCTTTTCCGGAACGAAGTTCAATTTGTGTTCTCTACATTTGCCCATAGTATTGTTTATTCATTCAGAACCTTTGAACAAGTCTGGGAAGAACTCTGTACTGACATACGAGACGGGGTCCTCAGCAGCCGAGTCAGTGTTCCTTCTATCCGAGCAGCAATGTCGAAGCTCCTTAAACCAAACCCTGAATTGGCTGATTTGATACATACTAAATGCTCAGGATTGAGTAACTGGTATGGACTAATACCAGAGCTTTTCCCTAATGCGAAGTACGTTTATGGGATCATGACTGGGTCAATGGAGCCATATCTGAAAAAACTGAGGCACTACGCCGGGAAGCTACCTCTTGTATGTCACGATTATGGTTCTTCAGAAGGATGGATTGCAGCTAATGTCAATCCAAAACTGCCTCCTGAATCGGCTACTTTCGCTGTGATTCCAAATATTGGATATTTTGAATTCATCCCCCTGAGGCATAATGCTCACGCTCAGGAGCAAGATCTGATGGATCCTGATTTCATCTCCGGGGAGCCCAAGCCAGTGGGGCTTACTGAAGTCAAGGTCGGTGAAGAGTACGAGATCCTTCTCACCAATTTCGCAGGTACTTAAATTTCTTTTTATTATTATTATTATTATTATGTGCTTGTACCACGAGAATGTAAAAAAAATGCTTTTATTGGGGCAAGGAGCCATCCTTGTTCATCTCTTTTAGTGAGATTACAACTTGACCATAAACGCTTGTGTGCTGGATAGTGGATCCTGGCAAACTATCGTCATCCCATCTTTTTCTGTTTTCTAAACTTTCTTTTTTCTCGTTGGTATTCTATGTGAAATTGCACTGGAGATTGTTAGTTCGCCAGTTTAAATGACTGACTCAGCAGGCCTGGCTAATACGCCAGTTTAAATTATATGGTTTCGCTACAGAAGGAAAAAAGTCAACATTGTAATAACATCCTTAGGTGTAGGTGGTCTATTAGATGTACCCCATGAATAGCAACATATTAAGGAAGAGAGCACTTTTTCCTAGATGACCTGCCTGCTTTAGTGATATTTTTTCCCCGCCTCATCTACCAGTCACATAATACACATTAAATTTGTTACTGGAGAAATAATTTCGTGGAGAACACATTTCTGAGCGTGAAGTGCTCCTTTTCATCAAATCTGCTTCTAGTTATGGGCACTCCAACATGTAATATAACGTTGAATTATACTTGTGTGCATGGTTTGTTAAATAGGTATAATAACTGAGGAAGAGAATGTCTGCAGGTTTATACCGTTACAGGTTAGGAGATGTGGTGAAAGTAATGGGATTCCACAACTCGACACCAGAACTGAAGTTTGTATGCAGAAGAAACCTCGTGCTGAACATAAACATTGACAAGAACACGGAGAAAGATTTACAGCTATCAGTGGAAGAAGCAGGCAGGGTATTGGCAGAGGAGAAAGTAGAAGTTCTTGATTTCACAAGCCACGTAGACGTGAGCACGGAGCCTGGACACTACGTGATTTTCTGGGAAATCAGTGGGCAAGTAGAGGAGGATGTGTTGCAAGGGTGCTGCAATTGCTTGGACAAGTCTTTTGTGGACGCCGGCTATGTTAGCTCTCGCAAGGTGAATGCCATTGGACCTCTGGAGCTCCGACTTGTCCGGAGGGGAACATTCCAGAAGATTCTAGATCATTACCTGGCTCTAGGGGCTGCTGTTAGTCAGTTCAAAACACCCAGATGCGTGGGTCCCAACAACAATATGGTGTTGCAGATCTTGAATGGGAATGTTGTTAAGAGCTTCTCCAGTACTGCTTTCTCCTCTGCTATGTGTATATAGAAATAATGTTGTTTGGTATGCTGTTTTCTTGGAACCTTTTTACAGAGGAGTTGTTTTGTTACTAAAAAATAGAGATAGATAATCAAACTCCAAAAGTCTTGAAAACAGTTTTCAAACTTTCATTTATTTATTATTCTTGAAGTCTTAAAACATGATAGATGGCTTCACCAACCAGTGAGAATGATGCCAAGATGAAGTTATTTGAATAGGAAGAGAGGACCACATGAGTGTGAATCAATCAACCTCTGTCACGTATATTGTCCTTTCTTCAAAAATTTAGTTCCAAACCAGTTATGTAATATAAAGGACGCCACTTAACACGGCCACCACTTTCTTTCCTTTAACCAAAACATGTTTTTGCCCCATTAATACAACGTTCTGTTTCACGGTTTAATGAAGGTGTCTTATTTAGTGAAACCTTTTCGTCAATGACGTAAGCCTAATTTGTGGGACGGCCACGTGACGGACACGCCAGCACGGTTCTACGCGAGTGATCCACGTGCTAGGCCGATCGAACAGCTCAAGGCCTCTCCCGCGTGCGTGAACAGTCGAAATCAATTTCCCAAATAGGCTTGATCGAACGCCCTGCGTGCCTTTAATCGGACAGTCCACATTAATTTTTCCATTAAGTGTGATCGAACGATCATCATCACTCCACGTGCCCTGACACAGACAGCCCAGATCGAAGCCGATGAGTATTTAAACCCTTACCACCCAACTCCCCAAAACCCCAGCTGTCGAGAC